CTACCGTATTCGATCGGAGGTGAAATAAATTAACCGCCATTTAAACGTTAGGATTTGAAAAATACGAAATGCCCAGCCGGACCAAACGATTTCGTTCCATAAATATGAGATATTCGGCCGCGGTTTTCGGCCAAGCCGCCCGGTCGGGTCATTCCTATCCGCCGAAAGCCGCGGAGAGTGGCCACTCGGCCCAACCTTTATTTACGGAACGTTTATCTCTGGCGCAAAAATAGTATCGTTCGAGTATGGCGTTTTAAGGAAGATGCTCGAACTGCCGACGGAACAGTTTACTATCAAGTGGTTGTCGTTTTCGCAACAGATTTAAGTAAGAACGTATTTCCGAGGAAATGTCGTTTCCCGTAACCGGCAGTAATTAAAGATTAATACGTAACTGGAAATTATCCTTACGCGCCTTTTTTTCTCTGGTGGAACTGAAACCCGACGAATGGACGAACGATCGGAACCGTTTGAGTTTTTAAACAAACCGCAGTCGCGTAGTACGGCTCGATGGGGTTGCATTAAATGACGAAAAATAAGAATTTGAGAGAATCGGCTACGGAAGGTAGACTTTTAAGAATAAATCGTCTTAGAAGGCGACGTCTACGAAAGCGGAAAAATTCTCGTATCCGTTTACCGAGTGGCCATCGCTCTATTAGTCGTTTCCGCCCGGTTACTTACGCCACCGGACCGGACCCGGGCCGCGGCAAAATCCGTCGCCACCCGTAAATCGCCCTTTTACCATCGTCGTCGCGACTTATATTTAATAAAAAATAGATTTCTTTGTACTCGACGACTCGGATTATCCGCGGGTGCGTTGGAAAAACGGCGCGTGGCTAGATCCATACGAATTTTAATATCGTGGTCGACGCGGAAACGCTTATTTACTTAGAAAAATCTGTCGTTGGCCAAGTCGTATTCGGTGGGATAATGCCCAGAAAGCTTCCGTTATTAGGAACGGCCGAAAAGGTTGCGGGGATTAAGCGATTTCCCATACCCCGGCTTAGAGAGGTCGCTATGGTCGCGACGGTGTATGTATGCTTATATGTGTGCTCCGAATATCGATCGCCGTATCATCGGGAATATAGGGTTGACTGACGAAAGGATTACACTGCTGTATAGGACTATCAACGAGGATTCCGTGAGTGATTGGCTTTTTGAATTCCACTCGGTAGTTCATTAGTTACGGCCGTCCGTAACTTTCGCTTTTGTTCGGGCTCCATCGGGCCCCACTTTAGCCATCGAGCCGTCTTTGGTTGGTATTCGACAGCTTTAGGTTTTCATCTTTGTCGTACTAAATTTTCGTTCAGCTAACGCAAACGGTTAACGAGTTATATAGTCCGAATAAACTATACCGTTAACAAAGCTCTTCTCCTCCACGTGGTGATTAGCCGGTCGGCGTGGTTCTAGCCGTTCGGCGTTGGTTTCGCGCAGACGCAGTGCTTTGTTCGACGGGTTCCTCTTCCTGTAGGAAGCCTGCTTTCGGCTTCCTCTTCCTGCCTAAGGAAATGGCAAAAGGTAAAGGCTCCCACATAGAAAAGTTCCTACAAAAATCCTCCAGGATTATCGACGAGATCAACAACTACATAGAGGACAATACCGAGGGTAGGTTGTCGACAAAAGCTCACAGGAAATATCTGATGGATCGGATAAATAAAATAATTCGACTAGCAGAAAGCACTATGATGGAGACACCTTCCACAAAAATAATCAAAGAGGAGATATCTTCAATCATGAAAAAGGAAGAACTCACTAAGATAGTACAAGATCTGGAAAATAAAACCATAGATGCAATAGGAGGGATAAAGGATGACTTGAATGAGGTTAAAAAGGCTATTGACAATAATTATGACAACACAGAAAATAGAGACCTACTGAAGCGGGATATTGCAGAGGTGATAAGAGAAAATAATAAGGATATCTCAACAACTGTCACTACGATACAAGAAAGGGTAAATGATATTAACGACAAGATGACACAAGGAACAATATCTACTCCATTATACAGTACTATAGTTAAAGCAGGTCAATCCAGAGAACAAACAACTCTGAGACCAGCTATCCAGCGGGAGACCCTGCTGGTCTATAGCAGGAATAAAGAAGAAAATAGCAGTGAAAATGTCAAAACAATAATGCAAAAAGAGATTAGGCCCTCAGAATTAAACATTAAAGTTGAACGTATTCGAAAGATTGCAGGAGGAGTGGCGGTGGAGATGAGCGGATGCGGTAATGCCAAAGCTTTAGAGCGGTGCATTGAGGAAAGGGTCCCTGAACTTGCTGCACACACTCCCAGAAAACGTTGGCCACACATGGTCCTGTATTCCATACAGAAAGAAATAACGAAGGAAGAACTCCCTTATGAAATCTACGACCAAAATCAAGTAGTTCAAAATAATTACTCACAGGAGGAATTCATAAGACAGTTCAAGATAAAATTTCAGTTGGGAAGTAAAAATGCCTCTTATAAAAACTGGACAGTCGAAGTGTGTCCATCTGTTCGAAGCTCTCTCCTAGGTCTTGGAAAAATAAACCTTAATTGGTCACGCTGCAGGATAGCGGACTTCTGCCTGGTCCTGCAGTGTTTTAAATGCTGCCAATATGGACACACTGCTAAACAATGTGTGCAAACCGAGTATATATGTAGTCAATGCATGGGGACACACCCATATAGAGACTGTCCCAATCAAAAAGTGCAACCTGTATGCTGCAACTGTAAGGCGGAAAAGGCAAAAGAAATTAATCATAACGCACGTGACACCAAATGTCCTATGTACCAAAGAATTAAGAATAGCATAATACTAAAAACCGACTATGGAGAAGAACAATAATCGGAAAATACGCTTACTACAGTGTAACACTCAAAGAAGCATTTCCGCTGCTTCCTTCCTAAGCAAACAACTTCACAATTATGACTTGGTGTTACTGCAAGAGCCCTACTGCCGGAACAATATTCCCACCTGCTTACCTACTTTCTGCCCAACTTTACAGGGTACAAGCGACTACCCATGGGCAACCACTCTGGTGGCTAACACTGATCTCCCTGTCTTACACCACAAAAAACATAGCGATGAGTGGACTGTGGTTACTGAATTATTAATCAATAATGAACGGGTGATCATTATTAATGTATACTTTCCAGGTGACATGGATAATGACACTTATTTGGAAAACTTACAAAATATTTTAAACACATTTCATGATGCACAGATCATAATTGCAGGTGATCTTAATGCCCATTCCCCTACATGGGGAGGTGATCGGCTTGATAAAAGGGGCAGGAAATTTGAGGAGTTTACTAATAAAAATGATCTTCTTATACTCAATAATCCTTTCTCCCCTCCAACTTTTTGCTCTGCTAGGGGAGAATCTTGGATTGATGTCGCTGCTTGCAGTTCGAGGTACTATACGAGAATTGTGAACTGGAGGGTCTTGGAGGAGGAGTCCTTAAGTGATCATGCACATATCGCATTTGAGGTTATTACTACCGGTGACGAACAAATAATCTGGGCACCTAACCAAAAATTCGCTATTAATAGGGCCAATTGGACCCATCTAAAAGAGCTATTGGAAAGCAAGCTAACTGAAAATCTAGAAGGAAACCAACATAACACCAGAGAGCAAATTAAAAATGCTATAGATATAATCAATAAGGCATGCGAAACCTCTATACCAAAGACATCAACAAACAAGAGAAGTGTGCCATGGTGGACCTCAGAACTCAGCAACCTACGATGTCGGACAAGAAGCTTAAGGAAAACATATCAAAGGTGTAAAAATAATAATGAAAGAATACGACACAGGGAAGCATATCTTGATAGTCAGAAAATATATAAACAAACAATCAAAAAGGAGAAAATGCGCAGCTGGCAGGAATACTGCTCGAAAGCCTCAAACAATCCGTGGGGCTATCTTACCAAGATGTGCTGTAACAAACTACGTAAGACCAAAATCCTCACAGACACACAGGAAAATAATCAAGCTTCATCTCTGATTCAAGCCATGACAACCCAACTAAATAACTTCTGCCCGGATGATGATACAGCCCTCGATTCTGAGTGGCAACACCTAATTCGCTCTGAATTCAGCCGTCTTAATAACACAGAAAATACTCCACCTTTTACTGAGGAAGAAATAAACTGGGCATTCAACACTCTTGGTAGGCGAAAAGCTCCAGGCATAGACGGCATTACTGCCGAACTGGCTATTAAATTATGGGAAATCATCCCTACTTTCTTCAAGGACCTATACAATACATGCCTCAACAACTCGATTTTCCCCACTGCATGGAAAACTGCCAAAGTTATCCCTGTGCCAAAGCCTGGGTCAGCTGTAGAGAGCAGGCCTATTTCACTACTGCCAATCTTGGGAAAGGTACTCGAGAAACTCATCGCTAGAAGACTCAATTGGCACATAGAAAACAAAGGATACCTCAGTAACGCCCAATATGGTTTCAGACAGCAAAGGTCGGCTGAGGATGCCATTGACAAAACAGTATCATATATACAGGAATTATTAAAAAACAACAAGTATGTCCTGGGGGTCAGCCTTGATATTTCCAAGGCATTTGACAGCGCCTGGTGGCCCCTAGTGACAAATCAACTTCGCAACATCGACTGCCCTAAAAACCTGCTGAGTCTCTTCATTGATTACTTCCAGGAAAGGCAGGCCATTTTTCAATATGGCATTCACAAAATTCAAAAGAATATAACGAGAGGGTGCCCACAGGGATCTGTCTGCGGACCATTACTATGGAACGTTATGTTTGACAAATTCCTGAACAACAACTTTGGGCAAGCATACTGCGTAGCGTATGCTGATGACGTTATTATGCTTTTAGAAGGCAGATCAAGAGCAGAACTGGAAGCGAAAGGCAACGCACTTCTACACAATGTTTACAAGTGGGGTGAACAACATAAGCTCAATTTTAATACCAAGAAAACCAAGTCTATTGTATTTAACAAGCCAAGAAAAAACAATCTATACCTAAGACCCCCCTCTTAAAAATGAATGGGATCACCATTAAAGTGGAGAAAACTATAAAATACTTGGGTGTTGTTTTGGACTTCAGGCTGTCCTGGGACAGCCACATTGACTATATAACAGGACGAACTGGTCTTATCTGCCAGGCTTTTTCTCATATTGCGAAGCAAAAATGGGGACTCACATCCAAGACTATATCTATTATATATGACAGGATCCTCATACCTACAATTACCTATGCCTGTGGCACTTGGGGATGGGCAAGTGCCAAGGTCCATCCTAAAAGAAAACTGATATCGTCTCAAAGAAGAGCCCTACTCTTAATTTCCAAGGCTTACCGTACCACAAGCAATACCTGTTTGCAAATCATCACCAGGAAACCACCACTCGACCTTATTATCACTCAAAGACAAAAGCTTTATAGGATTAAAAGAGGTGATAACATGATAACGACTACTCGTGAAATAACCTATCAGGATGTAGAATGGCCCTCACAGATAAGTAATACCTTACCACCATGGAATACTATCTTTGACAAAGGTATACATGCTAACGGCGATACTTTACAAATTTACACAGATGGTTCTAAACATGACAACTGTGTAGGCTGCAGTTATGTTTTATACGAGAACAATATGGAAATTAAACACTGCAAATTTCGTCTACAAAGCGACTGCAATATCTTTCAGGCCGAGATGTGGGCCATTAAGATGGCTATTGATTATACTAACTCTACATATAACAATCATAATATAAAGATCCTTACTGACTCACTCTCCTCACTACAACTGATCAAAAACAGTAATCTGCATCTATTAGCAGAAACAATAAGGAAAATGATATATTTCTCTACAAACAGGTATGACATTCAATGGATCAAAGCCCATCATGGCGAACGGGGAAATGAGAGAGCAGACCTACTCGCAAAGGAAGCGGCAGTTGATGACACACTGCCCATAGCATACAGCAAGATTAGTAGACATACAATCAATAACATACTAAGAACGGATACAATTCGACAATGGCAGACAAGGTGGGACCTACAAAGTGACCATATTACTTATACTTTTATCCCTAATATTGAGGAATTTTTGGAAAATAATTGGTACAACCCGAACCATTATAACTCCCAGATACTAACAAATCGTGGCAGGTACGCTACTTACTTGGAGAGATTTCACCATAGCACTTCGAAGCTATGCCCAACGTGCGACATAGAGGATGGATCTTTGCACTACCTCTTCCATTGTCCTATCTTCGCAAGAGAAAGGACTGAATTACAAATCGTCCTGCATGAGCAAGGCATCAACTGGCCCTGCAGGCCAACTGACATATGGACCACAAAAAATACCTATACTGCCTTCGAAAGGATCAGCAAACAAATCAGCTATATTAATAACAAACAAACTTTCCTTTAACTCCTCATACCATTCTTCTTATTATGTTCTGTGTCATTTTGGCTGCTCTTTTCAGTCACTTATTTTATCTCCATGTAACTCCATGGACTCCTACACGCGTCTCTACTATCATATACATGTGATACTGCCGTCCTAGATAACTTAAAATTATGTAATATTATTGTCCTTTTTAATATCAAATGAGTGTATATAATATATTATTGTATTCTCTCCTTGGTAATCCCAAAAGCGGGGCCAAGGTATGTACTTATCAGTACCTTAATAAAATAATTATGTATGTATGTATTATGTATGTATGTATGGACCTTCAGAAAATGGCTCAAATACTTGAAAGTCGAAAATAAGTATATCGGTGATCATAAAAACAGTTTACTGAAATACCGATTGATGCCTAATGGAACATTTTCTATACGTGAAAAAATGGATACTGATTATTTTCATACTATTTTAAAANAGTACCTTAATAAAATAATTATGTATGTATGTATTATGTATACCCCGGCTTAACCCGGGCATTTTTCGCCAAATTGATTTAAATCCCGGTTGTTCGCAACGACGGCGAATCGAACTCGGACCAAGATCCGGGCTTTTGTCCAGAAACAACCGTAGCGTTATCCGATAAACGTTTTGCTGGGTGGGATTAAGAAACGTCACCACCGACGCGGCCACGTATTTCGAACATTCTCGTCCTTCGACGGGTCGAGACGTTCGCCACGCATTTCTAATACGGTATTAGTCGTTGTACGGTAAACCGTACCGACCGAATCCACCCCGGTCTGAAAAAATAATTACTAAAATCGTCACCGAACACCTTGACTGCCGAGAGGCATTTACTTCCCATACACTAACGTTTTCGGCTAATGCGTAGGCCGTCCTCGGATGCCGTACTTTCGAAACTTCGATTACAAACTGTTTCCAACTAGAATACGATAAATATAGAATGTTAGAACGTCAAATTTTGGAATTAGCTCCTTTCTAGAAACTCCTATTAACTACATTTACCAAGGTTATTTTTGTATTCAAAATTTACAATTCTAGTTCTATTTTTATTTTGCTTCATTTTTATGTTAGAATTTTAAATTTTTTTGCCTTACTTTTACGTTAAAATTTTTATTTCCCGTTAATTTTATATTAGAGTTTTACTTTATGTCGAAATTATTGGGTATTACGTTTATATTTAAATGTTTAAAAATTTAATGTATATATTGTAAATATTGTATATTTGCCAGCGACGTTCCAAAAGTGTGTCTATAGCTTGGGAGGACGGCCTATTCGTTAGGCCGAAAACCTTATAGCGAATAAACGTTTCTCGACGGCCGAAGGTGTTTAGTGACGATTTTAGGAAACGGCGACGTCCATCTCTGGGTTTGATACGTTAAGAAAGATATAATACTCGCCTTAACGGAGATTCGTTCTACGACAAAATGTCAGAATTCGAAGACAATAAATTTCCGTCAAATATTACCATACAATGTAGAAAGAGAATAAATCCGAATCGTCCGGAAGATAATTCGGATCTATTCTCTTCCGGATGTATTCGGAGTCTTGCTCTAACGTAGATTTACAGGATGTATATTGTCGTTTCGTTAAACGCATTCGATCGATTTTCGATTCCGACTTCCATTTGTAATATTCTAAGGTAAGAATTAACTGGATAAGAAAGTAACAATTTGCTTTAAAAGGAATGATAATAAAAAGCAGAAATTTGAAAGGTACGAGACGATGGGGTAACCGTCTCGTTAATAAAAAAAATATTGGCCAAAGTTTATCGTCCGTCCAAGTCGAGAGGGAGATACTGACTGGTCGACGATGGGTAAAGATATACCGATGTACGGGTATTTGTTAAAATACGACATCTTTTACGCTCGACGTATAAGAAGAAATTTCTCTTTATCCTCGAGCGGGGACGGAGCAAAATTTCTTCTCGGATAACGTATAATTGTAGCGCGGACTACGTTAACGCTATCGATCCGCCCCGATATAGGCTAAATTGCCGACAACCCCGATGGTCGCTTCGTTTGTCGAGAATTAACAAATAATCTTATTCCGGAGATTTATGACTGGAGGCGGAAAGTGTTCTAACGTCTGTAACGAAAAGCGGAGTGCAAAATGAACGTTCGCTGGTAAGCACTAATTCTTCGCTCCCCGGAAATTTTAGTCGACGGAAACCCCGAGTTCGTTGTCTCCTTTTGCCGCGCATTTTAGAATTCTGGGAAGAGGAAATAAATTTGCCGAGCTTTCGCTCGACAGGGACCGGCCGCCATTTCCGACTGGTATTTGCTACCACGCGTAATTTGTCGTTGCCGATAACGCTTCTCCCAACGGATTTCGAACAAACTTAAATAATTATTTAAAAATATTAAATAAAAATGATTATTGCTTTCGTACATAAAAGAAAACGGCTTTCGTCGCGCGCTTAAAACTTTTGTTTTTCACTCCAGTCCGACACCAATGCCACCGAATTTAAGTGAAATTTAATTTCGTAACGCTATTAAATAGTTCATTCGAGGTACTGTACATTAAATTATTAGTTAATAAGTTATAACAACAAATAAATAATTAATTAATCTTAAAAAATCCAAACGAAAATACCAGTGTAAAAATATGTAAAAAATGAATTTATAAAGGATACGGTAACGACAAATATTTTAATATAGTTAATACGGATACCAATTAAAATTTTTAAAGTTAAACATTATCATTTAATATTGTTGGAATTGATTATAACTTATGTAATCAACGCGGTGCTATTTTTATTCTCGTACTAGCTGCAAGGACCCTTCGCTGGGTTTTTATTTGTTCGTACATTTGTATGTAATATACTTTATATATATATATAAAAGATTGTTTTTCTAAGTAATTTAGAATCTAGCTGCAAGGACCCGCTTCGCTGGGCAAAAAGTAACGATAGTGAAGATTAAGATAATTACATTATAGCCAATCTTACCCGTTTTCACACAATGCAAGAATTAGGTCCCCCGTTTCCAGACTAATTAGAGAATTTTTACGTCCAGTCAAACGAACTATTTTCACCGTTTCTGGAACGTTTTCAATCGTTCTATAATCGAACCAATATTCGAATTTTATGTTCGAATTTAATTCGAACAAATTCGAACAAAACATTCGAAATAGAAAGCCACTTTCAACCACTTTCAGCCTCATATCTCCCGCACCCTTATAGCTTTTTTTGCCTCGTTGACTAGATCTGGAAGGATCGTATAATGTACCAGGCCCGGGATAAACGTTCCTCTCGTCGCCCCTTTCGAAATACAAGTCGACCCCCCTATAACACTGCTGATTATTCTGTTTTATATGAATTCCATGTGGTAGGAGTCACTTAGATTTTACAAATACGTGTGCCGAACTGTGAACGGCTCACGTATTTGTAAAATCTAAGTGACTGGTACAACATGGAATTCATATAAAACAGAATAATCAACAGTGTTATAGGGGGGTCGACTGTACAATTCTTCCGCTCTTAACGATACTCGAATTCGATCGATCTCGGATAGATCGGAGATCGGCCGGTCGACAGAAAATTATTCGACATTTCCGAAACTACAGTCCGGCCAACATCTAATAGGCTACGCGTAATCCCGGCAACGTTCGAACGGAAGAAAATTCCCGCGGAGATTTTAGTCTCGGCTTTATTCTTTCTCGTTACCGAAAATAATGGGCGCGACGGAACCGACCACCGTCGGTGTTAGAATCGTCGACGTATAAAGATTTAAAAAGGGCGATATCCCAAGCAAACTTTAGACCGTAGGCGTCTCCCACCGAAGCGGCTCTCGACAATTAACAACCTCTTTTCCGGAGACGAGAATTATCGTTTTGTATCCGAAATTGCCCCGAACGTTCGATTCGAAAATCGTGTGTTCCGTCAAACGAAGATTAATGATAAATCTTTGTCCGCGGAGGCCACTACTCCTGTTATATTAGATGGCTCCATATCTTCGTTTAAGGATTAATTCGAAATTATTCCCGAAGGAAATTACCGTTTCCAAATAGACGGAGTCTTCGATTCCGATCAATTATCTTTCGATCATTTTCAGATATATCCGAACCACCAAACTTCCGAGAAGGAGAAATCGTTGCCCGAATACGGACGGTGGCCGGCTTAGGTTCTATTTAAACAATTTGAAATCCGATCGATAAATTATATTTTATGTCGTAGTCGTTAAAAGTAGCGTCGATAAATGGCCAATCGTCTTAGAGAAATCGCCGAATACGAAAGGATTATTCGAGTCTTTCTCCCGTCTACGAAATCTCCTCCGTCCGCCTAACGAATTTATTCTTTTAAAAAATCGTAGCTTTCTCGGCCGTTACCAGTATTTATTTTAAAAATAACTTTTACGTTATTAATTGTAAAAAATAAAATTGCGGGTAGCGCCATCCGTTACCTCATTTTTTAATTAAAAACTTTTTGCTTTATTAATTATCATAAAATGACAAAAAGCTCGATTTCGAGGGTACCGAGGAATTGTAAAATGTTGTAAATGCCAATAACGTTAATTAAGTCTGGCCTCTCTCGAAATACGACACGCACCCAAATGTAATAACTTCCATGGCCCTTATATACGAGCTACCGCGCCAAATTCGATTCGTTTCTTAATCATTACTCCATTCCGAGACATTAAACGAAATAGATGCCAACACGCGCGCCTACGCAAACACGAACTTACGTGATGTTCGTATCCAGGGATTTTTTTTTTAAATTTTCCATCTTTCCATTTTTTCCATCTTTTGGTGGACACGAAAAAAACCATGAAAATTTGTTGAGCTACTCCAAAATAGTTGATCGATTCTATACAACATCCGGCACCGGAAGTACCGACCAGATTCGGCGAGTTTCTAGCGCGCGGTAAAGAACTCGCCTTAGTGTTCTTTTCCAAAATTTTTGTCCGCGTACCTTTATCCGTGTTCTTCCATATTCGTTGCATTATCGTATGACAGATCTACAATCGGCAAAGTTCAAACCGGCTTTAGTTTCCAAAAAATTT